TATATATATATATATATATATATATATATATATATATATATACATATATACACGTTTCGGTTCCCTAGAATATAACCATCCTATTCTTCAGCTTTCTATAGTTTTTCTCTTGTCTTTTTCAATTTCTTGATATAGTTTTAAGCTGGGATCATTTGTTACGAAAAAGTACACCCACATGTGTACAGAACCAATACATTTTAAGGTTTCACATTGATTCAAATTGTTTAATCTATAGTACATCATTGTTTCTATTAATAACTCGACTAAAAATGGATTGATTAAAGTTAGGCATGAACACTGTTGGATGCCAACTCATTGATCGAGATGTTAAGCATTCACATGCTCGATCAAATTACACACTAAAATAGAAATAAGCGATCATTGTCAATTAATGTGCATTAATTGATCACTGGTATACTGATCAATGTTGTTTTTATCTAGTCATGTGTGTGTGTTTGTGTATTTATTGACTAAATTCTGTGTAATAAAGTCGCAACATGGCTACTAATCAAAATGACTCTCTATGATATGTATTATTTCTATTCAATACTAGTTGATTGGAAATAGTTGGAAGAAAACAAGAAGCTGGAAATTAGCTTTTGTGTTACATAGGAAGGGTATATTTGAAGTCCCATAGAAACAGTGATTCCCTGCAGAATTCAAACTTGTGTCAACCTGTTTCACAGTCTCAGATATTTACTACTGCTAAGAGTTTTACTTCAAAAATATATTATCATTTACTTCATTGTAACATCAAAAAACATTTTGTAACAATTCTTTTAACTCTACACCAGATTGAATATTATATCTCTTTGAAGAATCCATTTCAACTGAACCAACATTCAAAACCACTGTGTTTGTAACTTATCTTCAGCATAATAATATACACTTAGCATGTTCAGTTGAAAAAAGTTTTTTCTTTCTTGATACTAGTGTGTGTATATTATTGTATGCATGTAGATGAAATTGATTTATGTAGGCCAATGAATATTGTTTTATTTTGATGATCAATAACTGTGTGTGACACTGTGGCTATGTTTCATTATCTTTGGACTGATCATAATAAATTGCATAAACTTTATTTATTTAAAAAAAAAATGATATTACGGATAATTTTTTCTAAAAATATTTTAGTGATAAATTGTTTTACTTGATACATATCGTTGAATAATAATAATAATCATAATAACAGTACATACACTGTAACAATATCCTTCATTATTGAACATGTCTGAAAAAAAAACGATTCTTTACTTAATTTTTAAAGTAGTATAATAACAAAATAAACTAACTGTACAGATGTTGTAAATGCACATACTTAGACGAAATGCCCATCTAATAATTGTAGGTGTTTTTTTCAATGGTTGTCTATCTGAGAGATCATAGTGTTCAAGGTTTCAACTGTGAAAATTGCATTCAGATAAATTTCTTTCGAATAACATTGAAATATAATTGTATCATTATTATTCACACTACCCAAAGTAGTGTTAAACAATATTACACACCTCTCCTTGTTTACACACCTCAAACTAATACAACTGAAGTGTTTGCATGCAAAATCATTTTGTCTGCTTGTTCATCTTGTACTCAACAGATCAATTAGCTTATTATTACACAATCACTTACTATTTGTGTGTGTGTGTACGTATTTCTTCATTAATTCAACTTTGAATTTGTTTATTAACTGACAAATGGTAATTGTTTTTAAAATATTTAATAAAATTATTAAACTTGAACTTACATTTTAGGTATCAGAGGTGGTGGTGATATTTTTTACGATTGATGAAATCAAAATAAATGGCGTAGCATGTGAACCTGTGATCAGTCAGTCGACTGCAACTCAAATGTTTTAAACAAATAAACTATTAAATATCAACTAGATTTACTGATTATGAACAACCATTTCGAAAAATGATCAGTATTTGTTAAGTGTACATGTCAAAGTCTCTAATCCAAAGAGATGAGATATTATTGACAACAGTAAATGTTAACACCATTTATGTACTAACTGTGAATTAGGGGTCAATTGGACTGTCAAGATCACAGTTGAAGAGTAATTGCAACATTCAAGCAATCTGATGCTAAAACGAAGTACAGAAATTACCGGTTATCAATAGAAAACAGAATATAACAATCAAGAGAGATTGTCACAAAATAACAGTAATAAATGAAGCTTTATATTTCGAGATTTGTAAAAAAGATTGTCAAAAATAAGTAGGAACTACGCCGAGTATATTTTAAAGATGAACTGAATAACAAGACAAGATGAGAAATACTGCCCTACTTGATAGCACACAAAATGATTGCTAATAACTGAAGCTACTGAATATTGTTATTAAGTAGCATAACTTAACTTATGCAAAATGTATAGATTGATTGTTGGAAGATTTTTACTTCTTGTTCTCTTTTATTGATTCTTTCCAGTTTAGCATTCAATGATTGTTCAACATGGCATTGTTCTGAGAAAATCAACCAAACAATAACACCTAATCATTCTAATGATCAAATTAAATCTATACCAATTAAACCAATCAGTATTTCATTTATTAATAAACAAAAAGTAATTATTATGCCTAATGATAAGAATAAAAATAATTCTTTTACTGAATTGCCATTAACTACGTCATCAACAACTATACCAACAATAGACAAATCACAGTATTATCATTATCCACAACATCAAATAGAACAAAACATGACATATCAGCCAAAACAATCATCTCTTCAACAGCATCATTCACAACAAACATTGAGTGTTAATGTTGGACAGGTAAATAAACGAATCAAAACAGTTTTTTTATCAAATAGATTATATATATATATATATCTGTTATGTGTGAGAGTTTGGTTAATGACAATATTTTCATGTTATTGGTCATGAATGTCATTAACGTTAACAGTAGAAAGGATAGAAAAACTTTACAAACTAACTGTGCTTTCATTACCCTTTTTTATATCAATTTACCAAATGAAATAAACTACTTAAGATACTACAAGCATGAGCAGTAATTGGGAAGACCACGGTCCGAAGATATTATTCAAGAAGTCTAATCCAATGAAATGGATTTGAGACAAGAAAGATGAAATTCATTTGGAGTTCAGATTAGAACTTGAGAAAACACAAAGAATGGACACACCTGCGACATCGCCAACGATTTTGAGCCATGTCATTCAAAGTCTCTAACCATCCGTTACTATCTTCTCCGACCCTGACCAGGTGAAAGACATTTACCAACATGACTTCTTGGATTTGTATCAACCTAATCCTACACTACAAAACATATGTCGACAAAGTAGTCAGTGGTCGGACATTCATAACACATGTCCTAATCATCTTAACTGATGAAGTCTCAATGCTTCATCTATTGATTTGCTATCCCTACCTAGTACCTTTTTGTAACAATAGCACCACTTACTTGATAGTCCCAGGATATATGATTAATGCTTCTAAGACGCCTTTGGTCGAACACTAGTACCATACGTATATACCCTATTGTAAGTGGCCATGTTTCACACCCGTAAATTTGGGTGGAGAGAACTACTGCGCAGTCGACTCGTCCTTTGGTTAACAGACGGACATCTCTCCTCAGCTATAAGTAACGCAAGTTGACAAAAGTCAATCGAGCTTTCTGTATCCGTTCTGAGATTTCGTCACCACTGATGAGACTCCCGAGATAAATGAAGCGGTTCATGCGCTCAACTACTTCACTCCCTTTCACTAGTTCCGGTACCTGTGCAGCCCAATCCTGAAGCAACATTTTGAATTTCGGAGGGGAGAACCACATCCCTAACATGCAAACATTATTGCTTAATATGGACAGAAGACTCTGCATTTTGTCAGAGTTTTCACTAAATAGATCAATGTCATCGGTATATTCAAAGTCGAGAAGTGAATCCCGAGGTAAAAGTTTAATTCCTGAAAAATCAGACGAGGAAAGTGTTATTTCTAAAAGCAAGTCTATGACAAAGTTGAATAAGAATGAAGAGAGTGGGTAACCTTGATGAACATCACTTGAGGTAATCAGTTCCCATGAGAGTTCGCTATAAGATCTGACTCGATGTGTAGTGTTCGGTTAGAAAGCTTGTATAAGATTAATGTACTTATCTGGTACTACTTTCAATGACAGACAGTGCCACAGAACCTCACGATCATCAGAGACAAATGCCACCTTAAGGTCGAGAAATATTTTAGGACCTGATATAAAATATTAAGTGATAATTATATTTTGAAATGCTAATTCGTGACTTAAACTAGGAAAATTTTAACTTTTCCAAAAAATGCTCCTATATTATTAATAATCGTCTAGTCACTGGTAACTAGCTTTAAGTAGTAACTAGTGGTTTTCTATTAGGAAGCTATGATCATAAGAGTACAACCATATCGAGTGTGCATATAACAGATAAGAGTTGTGTGCTAGCATGAACCGATTAGAGTTAAATGTGTATAACATTTGATACTGTCCGCATAATCAACGGGTTGACCCAAAGTCCTGAGTTCGATTCCTAGATGCAAGATTGTGGACACATATTGCTGAAGAGTCCAATAATGGAATGAAAAAGCCTTTCTCACGTTTTCATAATGGTTTAATCAAAATGAGCTCATGATTTAAACTATGAATATTAACAAATCCCCGTATCCTAACTTTAGCATACATCACTGACCTACTAAATGTAAAGGAATATGAGAGAAGGATTTGGATATAGTGCACTTATGAAACTTTAAGAATATTCTACATAATTTGAGTCATTTTTATTCTATAATTGCCAAATTTAATTCTTTATTGATTTATTATTATTATTTTATTGTTATTATTTTTATTGTTATTTCATCAACTACGATGCATCATAGAATTCTTCAGATAATCTGAAATTGATTGATTCAAGACGTACAACACCGAGACAATTGAAACAACATCAAATAAAACGCAGTCAACCAAAGTCTCCTTCATCATTAACCACTAATATTGAACCAACATCCACAACAACATCGACAGTGACAATTTCATCTGAATTATGTCAGCAAAAATATCAAACTGCATTAAATCATTCTTATTCTGAAAAAGCGAAAACAATCAGTTCATCTGAAAATGCTCATAGTTCCAAAGAAAAATCCACTTTTCCACAACAAACAACTTCTAGTGATCTAGCCACATCATTTATTCGTACAGCAAGTTTACATTTGAAGTCGACATTATCACGATTAAAACGTTCAAATAGTGGACATTCCAATAGACCATTTGATGCTAATACTACTACTACTACTACTACTACTACTACTGATATTCATACTACTGTTTTGCCTTCAGTTAGAACAATCGATGTTAATGAAACAGTAAGCCGTCATAATTCTCTTCCTTCTGATAGTAATGACAAAACTATAAAATTTATTGCTGAAATCAATAAGACTGCGAAACAATCATACAAAGAACCCAGTACTACTACTACTACAACAACAACTACTACTACAATTATTAAAAACATTAACAAAAGTAGTAGTTCGTCTTCCCCACCATCACCGGGATATACAAAGTGGTCTACACGTTTAGGTCCTCCCCCATCCCCATACAAAACGAAAGATCTTAATACTTCTGTCATTTATCCTAAATGTTGTACATCATCTATACCATACCATGAAACCAATACAATAGGGACAGTAGTCACAACAGCAATGACTTCTACACTATTATCATTCAATGTTGTGAATGATAGTAAGAAAGATGTTTCGATTTTGAGTAATACAACAACAACAACTGTAACTACTACCAATACTACTAATTCCAGCAATATAAGTAGTGTGTTCCAAGTGTTGCCTAAATATGAACGAAATGAACTGAATTATTTATCAACTAATAATGATGATTGTGCTAGTTTTGGAGAATTTGGTCAGATTAATTTACGCACTGGAAGTTTTATGGGTCGTTATCCCAATTATTCACATTCAAATCATCAATTAGTGAGTGGTGTTCAACATGGACAAAGTTTATTCAGTGGTCATGATAATCATCATCATAATCATAATAGTGGTATACAACAACATCAACAACAACAACATGAACAAAAAAATCTTTCAGAGTATAGACCACTTTATTTATCTATTCAATCGTATACAACATCATCACCATCTGGGAATACAACACGATCTGCCCCATCACCAAGTCTTTCTTCAATGACATCAACACACGGTTTGTCAGGTTATCATGATACTGGTCAGCATTCATATCAACAACAACAACAACAAACTGTATATTGTCATCCTCAAAATCAATTGATCACTTTGAAGACACCCTCCTCTTCTTGTTCTTCCGTGGCGAAGACACATTCACCAAGAGTTAATTCGGTGCATAATCCACAATTGTTGCATACAGTAGATAATCCAAACGATCATTATTCAATACCAATAACACATCCTCATGAAATGTTATTACTATCTTCATCATCATCTCCATCTTGTGTAACTCCACATCCAGAATTGGATCCAATTTTAGAACGCCTATTATTGGATGTAACAAGTATTGATGAATATAGAACAGCGTTGCATACAAATGGTGAGTGCGAAAGAGGTATTAATGATAACTTATATTTATTGTTTGTTAATTCGAAGGAAGGAATAGCTTTATACATATTCGTACTGTGTGATAAAAAACCGTTTATTAATTTAAGACGTATGTAGATATTATTGGATTTTAATCAGTCTACACAAGAGATTAACTTCATAATTATAGGGTTGTTGGAATTGCTGAATTTTATTTAAATCATGAGGTAACCAATGTTAGACTGCTATTAGAAACTTGGAAACACTGGAAGATCGTTTCGCCCTAGTTTAGGACTCCTCAGCAGTGCGCATCCACGACCCCCGCTCGCGGAAATCAGACACAAGATCTTCGGTCTCGCACATAAACATTTAAAATCTAGACTACTGAGCAGTCACTCAGCAGCTCTAATGTCTAACTTCAACCAATCTGATCAGTCGTCAGTCGATCAGAGCTAGATATTAACACCAGTGGATGCCGGTCGAGCGGTTTAGATGTCAAGCGTTCGCGCGTGAGACCGAAGGTCCCGAATATGATTTCCACGAGTGTGGTTCGTGGATGCGCACCGCTAATGTGTCTCATACCAAGACGAAACGATCTTCCAGTGTTTCCAAGTTTCTAATAGTGGTCTAATATTGATCGAATCATGATTGCAATGCAAGATTAACCTTAGTTAGACAACTGGTATTTAATTTCAGGAGCTGATTCTCGAGGTTGTGATGGGAAGCCCCGAGTAACGGGGCTCACTTATGTCGAAATTAAAGCAGTTACTCACCACCTTTTTTGTGATATTGCGAATAGGCTGAAGTTAAAAACCACTAACCATTAGGCGTCAATCCAGTGGTCTTAGGTTCAACCTTCTATGAAGTTTTGGATGTCGATTGTTATCTAGAATCGCCATACTGAGATGAAACATTTACCCGATACTTCATTGTTCTTAATGACTGTCTAACTAAGGTTAGACCATAATGCAAACTTCACAAGTCCATATCCTTTGGAAATCCGCTACTATAAATCCATCTTTTATACCCTACTCGTTTTTATTTACTTTCATAGATTCAATTACTCCGCCGTTATCAACTAATCGACAACGTACAATTAATCGTATGCATACACCTTTAGGGTCAAGTGATCCTGAATCAATTTCACGATCAGCTGAACATATAATCAATATGAACTTATCGAATCAACAAAAAAATATTTTAAATGATGATAATATTTGTAATTTAAATAAACAAATTAATGATTTAATACAAATGGAATTTAATTCTAAACAAAAACAATCAACTTTTAATAATATTAATAATCATAATAAATCACAATTACCACCATATGGTGTTTTAAAAATTGGTTGTTCAACAACAATTGGACCTAGGCGTTCAGCTCCAAAGTAAGCTGATCTATAATGAATTAATGTTTTGTACATTCATATGAATTCATTTGTTAATTTTCCGCTAATCAAACCATTGATCAATCCGTTGAACCAGTAACATTAGTAATTGGAAACAAAAACCACAAGTTCTTCAATATTTTATTGGTACATACAGTTCCTTCTATCATTCGTGGCCAATCAGGCTAATTTAACTCTTAATATTGTTTGCTACAACACATGACAAATAACCAAGACCGAAAATCTCTGGTTTGATTCCTGCAGTGACTTTTTGTAGAACAGAAATATCTACATAAACTGATTACAGTTCACATAGAGTTAGTGTTAACTGAATTTCATTGATCTAGTTGCATAATGGCCATTAATCCTAAGCAACTTAACACTTTGCATGCAGTGTGTAATTAGTATAGATATTAAGTAGTAAATGTGAATTTAAACAGTTGACATGAAATAAATTTATTTAAACCTCAAAAGAGTAAACTGAGTAGCATTTCTATTTGGCCTGGAATATTCTTACTGAGAAGACTGAGGCAGGCTCAATAGATTGTATTTGGCAAATTTACACTCTTAGTCAATTAAAAACGATAACATTACATTGAATACTCCATTTGCACACCATCTTTGAGTCCTGACTTCCAACGCTCCAGCCTTCCTCCATTCCTGCTGTTGCTTCCTTTACTTCCTGTCGGTGCTCTAAATCTTTCTTGCTTTTGCTCTATTTGCTTTCCGTTTTCCTCTTCTGACCGTAAGACATCTTCTTTCACGTCCATTCTTATACTACTTATATCGTTCGTATAAGT